AAGTTTCTCTTGGTATCTACACCGTATATTTATTTCAAAAAAAAGTTGGCTTCACCAAATGCTGACAGAGGATTGCCCTGGAAGTGTAAGGGTTGATTGGAGGAAAGAAGTTTTGGTATACAGTTATGCAAACGCGATGAATACGTGCTAGGCTTACGCCTATTCCGCCCAGAGAGGCATAGTCAACATGAGAAATTCTCATTTACGTAAAAAGCATCATTACACCCAGCCAGGCTGTATAGTTATATGAAGCTAGTGGAATTGTAGAAGACCATCTCTTCTTGTATGGATAGTTAGTACTTTTTTCTTAAAGTATGCCCTCTGAGTGTGAAGATGTCGGTCAAGGCAGGAAAGATCAAAGCTCAGATTCAATGAATATCGAGCCCTCAAGAATTCCTCGAACAAATCCATAGTCATTAATACGAGACCACCTTCATTTGGTTTCAGGAGGAGACCCTTTTCATCTCAACAAAGTGGTGAAGGGCATGACGACAAGATAGTGTAGTATGGTCGCAATTTCCTTTTGATGTATAGAAGTGGGTTGGCCTTATTTGGGCAACTTGGTCCGGTTGCCAAGGCGACTTAGTTGGATGCACCTTGTCGGAAGTCCCTTACTATAATAGTTATCATAATTCCCAGGGTGAACTTGGTACGTTCTCAGATGAGATTTGTCTCTTTGACGAGTCGTAGCTTGGTGCCGAGAACGGCAAGACTCACTGATACTGCCGGCGAGACGTCTAAGAATGTACCAAGTCCGCGTTCTGACGCTGCGAATTATGCTAGCTACTATGGCAGAGGACTTCGGACAAGTTGCATCAAAATAAGTCGCCCTGACAACAAGACCATGTTGAGAAAACGAGGTCATTCCACTTCTCACAGGACTTTTGAAAAACAAGTTTTGTTTCATGGTCTTGCCTAAGTCCCGCCTATTCGCGTACTTCTCTCTTCCAAGCATCCGACAGACCGACACAAAGGCCTTACCACATAGCAACCATATGTTAGTAAAATAGGATTACCTTAAATCAGCAAGTGATGCAGGACTCGAATTTTCATTTATGAGCCCACTTTCATTTCGAGTTAAAATGTTTGTTGAAGAGATTCAAAGTTCCAGCCTACCAGAGGACGACGGCGGATTCCATTTTAATGGAATATTCTCGTTGACGCTATTTCCTTTGATTCCAATGAAAACGTGCTTGAATAACGGGCATCCTCGGAGCAGGCTATCATTTTTACAAGCATATTCAAGAAATTTCGGACGGAACCTTAGCTCTTTTTCACCAAACCCGAAGGGGATTGCCTCGGGAACAGCTTCAACAAGAATGTTCCGGTAAAGCCGCTCGATAGCTGATTGGATCGACCTTCGAATCTTTGCATCAAACACTTTTCCTCGAAATGGAAGTATCCCAACTATTACAAACCAAGAGAGTCCTCAAAACCAACTTTAATTTGCAACGACCTTTCATTTTGAAAGCAATTCTTGTTGATTAGAAATCAAAACGGACTTGCCTTGAAGTTGTGACTGTTTCCTTGTGCCAAGGGGTCAGGACAATTAGCCACAGGCTCCTTGACACGATCCAAAAGTCTCCACTTTAAGGCCCATCTTCACTTTCCAATGAGGCAAATTTAGCAACCCTTTCCTACCAACTTCTTTCAGACGACCAGTTGCGTCATATCAGATTATTGAGGGGTTCTTCGAAAACCGGTCCCTCTTCATGTATGTTTTATTTATTTCTCTATCCTTCCTAATCTTCGGCCTTTATGTAAAGTCCCCTTGCCTGCAAAACATTCTCCTGTAGATAATACTATTTGATATTCTGTATTACTTGTGCTCAGTTAGTGTTGGCTTTCGAAACAGCGAATCTTCACAACCTTTTGTTTATTCAGAGCAGCCTCTTCTGATTATGCCTTACACACGAGTGAAAATGTGTGTGATGATGAAATTTTAAATTCGACCCCACCAGAAGACAAAGGCAGAGTCCTCTTGGCAACCACTTTCGATTCCAGTGAAGGCGTAATGTGATAGGCATCATTAGATCCGGGAATTTCTCTTACAACCACATTCAGGCAAACGAATCAAGAGAACTCACCGGATTATCCCTAAGCACTGTGTCTATGCATCCGAATATGTATGTATTTTCATGAGGCATAAAGTGATTTGGTTATTTCACGCCACACGTAAATCTTGGATCATGTGTGTGTCTGTGTGTGTGCTATTTCTGCGTGCTTATGTGCCCTTATGTGTAAGTATATTTGCGAAACAAGCAGTTCCAGCTAAATGTAATTAATTCTGGTGGGGCCCAGCTTCACACCTCTTCCTCACACAGTTCAATTCAAAATGAAAGTAAACTTATCAGTTGTAAACCAATAGAGCTTCCTCAAATCCCAACTTTTTTCGCATATACAAGTAGAGTGGTCTATCTGCCTGTGCTGCCATTTTAATGAAAAATTCACCTTCGGGATAACTTCTTCTCTCGTTTACTCCCCAAGGAGGCCGAAGCACCCCCGAAGAACACACACTAGTCTGCGGCCCAAGAATGTCTTCTGTGAGAAGACAAATCGGTCAACTGGTCTTGCCAACTCGAGACAGACTTCACCATCCCCCCCTCCTCCACACTCCGACCGGCCCCACAAACTCTCTTCATATCACTACCGTCAGCATATTTCTGCGATCACCGTTCACACTTTAATGGCCGCTGTGTTGGCTACACAGGCTTTTTGTACTGTCAACAAACGTATTCGTTACTTCATACTGTTTACTTCTGGACAACAATGTTTCTTCACTAGCCGCGGCAAAAACTTTTTCACATTCCACTACTTTTGGCTACTTGGCGTCTTTGCCCCTTGAAAGTTATCAACAAACTGGTTAGGGTAAATATTTGGTCAGGACACGACCCAGCTGGTATGTATTCCGGCCAACTTTCTCTCAGACCATGACCAACCATTTTTAATGTCTCCCAGAATGCCAAATGCAGCGAGTTGGGTGAGCACAGAGATTGGGGCTGTTCCACGTCGATTGCTGCAACCAAGCAGTTTACCCTCTCCAAATGAGTCTCTTTCCAGCCTCCACTCTTCGGGTCCCTCTGTCCAGCTGCACTTGTGTCCCCCTCGCCTTGGATATGGTCCTCTTTTATCCCAGTCTTTGTTTGGCCTTAATCCATAATTATTTTGTTGACTATTACCTCAGTCTCTGGTGGGTCGAGAAGGATAGCCTCAGACCGGGACATTATTTTTCACTGGACTGCTTGCATTGCTTTCATTCTTCCCATTGCCTTACGCCTGAATAGATAAAGAGGATAGTAGGTCTGAACGATGTGTAGGAAAACATGCTGGCTTTTAAAAAACAGATGATTTTCAGTGTTGTCTAAATCAAGGGCAGTCACACTTGAATATAAATTAATTAACCAAATCGTCCCATGTCCATATATATCTTAACATTTTCTCGCAAAAATCATATATCATATAGAAAAAATCTGGCCGGACTTCTTGACTTGAGGCTTTTGCAAGGATGAGTCCCAGCTCCGGCGATGTTAGTCACATGACGAACAAAAGCTCAGCCCATCTTTGCCCGAAACGTTTGAGAATGTATCGTGGACTACATCAACCTGAACGTCGTATTAAGGCCAAACGCCTGATGTACAACGTAAATCAGCCGACGCCTCGTGAAATTGACCTATCAATCCCTTTATCATATATTCCCGTGCAAAGTCCTCACAACAATCTTGTCAGGAAATTTTTAAAAATCTGCATTTTATTCTTATAATCAGGGAATTAGACGTATTCACGCCATTTTGTTGAGATGAAGAAGGATTGACAGTTGAATTTTTTCACAACAATATGATTAAATGTCATGCTTCTATTGAATTTCACATATCCTTGCATCCCAAAAGGTATTCTCATCCAGGCAGGAGGGTACTGCAGCGACCTCGCCTGAACTAGTCTATTCAGCATACACAGCGGCAGTTGAACTCTGGCAGTGCAGCGTATAGTATCATCACTTTGACCACTGCGCCACACTTCTATGAGTCCCCTTGTGTCACAGGGCAAATGTGAATTTCAAGGAAGCCTAGGCCATTTCCATATCATTTTCTGTGGTGGGATTGTCGATGGAGCAACTATATCACTTATTTTTGTTTTAGAGAGCAGGTTGTAGAGACTAACAGTAGAACATATACATGAGATGAATTTATATACGAAATGTTCCTACAATGCAGTCCTGAAGCAAATGAGTGATGATAAAAGTTGAAATAATAGTGATAAATTAACGAAAACTGTCATCATTATAAAAAGGGCCAATCTACTACTATTGACCAAATAGGATAAATTAAACCGCTACGTCAGAATAGGCTTCAGGAGCAATAGATTAATGCTCCATTCTGAGAGGGCAATTAAGGACAATATATACGGCCGTAAGATGGGGCACTACTTGACTGCTAAATTAGTAGTATGCCTATTAAAAAATTTTCCATTTATTTTAATTAGGGACTTTTCTAGGTCAAGTTCGCTCTTAATATATGACCTACAAGGATTAGGCCTCCCTTGTAGGTTCTGACTTGTAATCAAGCTAGCTTTATCTGCTGGTCTTCATATGCTGTGATCACTTTAGGTCGTTGGCCTGGTCTATACAATGCCCAAAGAGCGGCACCTTTCTATTCTGCCGAGCCATGCCATCCCCTCTGGTGTGGGGTTGTGTGGAGGGGGCTTCAATTCCCAGCCCCATGATACTGATAATAAACATTTATCAAAGCTGACCAGGCCAAGTTGAAGTCGAAGGAAGCGCAAAGTGTGCTGACTTGCATGGCCTTCCTTCCTCCACAGCCACCAGCTCTCAACCCCGTTTAGCATCCTTGGGAACACTTGAAAAGGGAAATATAGAAACATGTTGTAACCTCACAGGACACTCTTTGGGATTCTCTAAAAGAGTCAAATTTTGCGACAACTTCTAGAATCGATAACAGGCAGAATGCAAGTGGTGGTTGTCAGTAAATGCATAGAAACATTTGCTGACTTATATTAGCTGATTTACATATCAATGAAGTATTAGAAAATATTTATTGAAGATCATCAAATGAGTAAAGATGTGAATTATTTTTAGAAAAAAAGAATATACAAACTTAGTACTTAGTGATGGACCTAGACGGTATAAATAAATCTATTTATTTAAGAGTTATTCATCTCCCTCGAAATGACCTTAAGCAACCTTGATGGATTCTATTTCTTATTAAAGACTTAAAAACTTCGAAGCATTCTCACATGAAACCTAGCCTCTAGAAATTATTCTTCCTTCTTTAAAAGTTTATAAATACTTGTATATGTATATAATGTACATAGTTGTTTTATCTTGTACTTTATAAGGGGCCAAGCATGCTTTTTTGAGTTGATCTATGCTCATTATGAAGAAAAATGGAAATATTTACTATCGAAAAGCAAGCGCATTTATCCATTTAAAGTTGGTAATTAGTCTTCCCCTATTTGTATGACCGTCAATGCCTATTCATGAAGGCCAACTGTCTAGGCTATCAAAAAATTGTGCAGCTCAAAATCATCAGATGCAATAATATGTTATTGTGTCATACAATAATGATCTCATATATGCTAGAGCAAAGTATACTATTCATTATAAGACTATCGTAAACCTTAATATTCCTTGACTTAACGGGCTGGCGCATACGATCTGGTTTCGATTCCCATTGGAAACGTTGCGGAGGCCCAGGCAAGATCGAATCTGTTATCCGGCCAGATTGAGATGGACCGTTTGAGGAAAGTTTATATGAAATGCGGTGACTTTGTGAGGCACACCACCTATTTCATTTTGGGAAACTCTAGTATCCATTTTGCTGTCAACAATGGAGACCTATGATATCTCGAATTATTTTTACTTAATGGTGTATTAATATGGACTTGATGGCATCAGTCATTGAAACAGAGAAAGAACAGTATAAAAACTGCTTTTAGAAGAATCCCTTAATAAATTCATATTTGAGTAGCTTTCATTTTGTTTAAAGAGGCGAGTAAAAGTGTTCTCGCAAATTGGCCTCACCGGATGCTGTAGGGGGATTTCCGTTGAGCTGGGATTGTAGATTTGTGCGAATAGCTCCTCGATGCACAGCCCTACAACCTTGATGAAATCTTGCTGAGCTTTCATCCGTCATGTCACGGACATCGTCAGAGCAGGTCATCATGCTCTACAACTAATCACCAAATGCAGATACAAGAATGGTAACCGGCTGTAATCCTGTCTACCTTTAATAGTTTTGCTGAATCCAATTAGGGAGAGATCTCATGATTTGGTTGGAGATTCTAGGCTTTTCCTGCATACTGTTGGAAAGTTAAGTGATGAATGGAATCGACGGGAATATCATGTTCACCATGGAACTAGAAAAGGATGGTAGTTTACCTTTTGCAGATGTCCTAGTTAGCGAAGAGAGGAGCAAACTGGGTAGGCATGTGTATATAAAACCCACAAATCCGGGCTTCCTCTTTAATTTATTTTCAAATCATAATTAGGTAGTTAAAGCGGGAGTTACAATATCCATGATAATAAGCAGCCTGCGTCTTGCAGATGTCAACCATCGAGAGCAGGAACTCATGATATTAAGGGAAATTTTATTTGAAAATGATTACAATTTAGGATTAATTGAGAATTGCTTTAAAATACCAGCAAATATGATGGAGGGAAACATATATTTGGGGCAAAATAGACAGCTAGACCAGTAAACTAGAATCCTAATATGAAATGTATTCACCATATTTGGTTTAAGGTGAGGAAGGACTGGTAGTAAAATTTTCTCACAATTATATGAGTAGAACTGACGTTTCCATTGAATTTCACATAACCTTGCTTTCCCAAAAGTTGCTGGGGGAGTTGATAAGACCTATGCGAGGTAGAAACTGCAGTCCACCCTGGATGAGAACAACTTTTGAGAAAGCAAGGTTATGTGAAGTTCAATGGAAATCTCAGCCCTACTCATATCATTGTGGGAAAATTCTACTATCAGGCATTCGTCACCTTAAACGAAATAGGGTGAATACATCTTATATTACTGATTTACTGGTAGTCTCGAAACTTACTTACATACGAAAAATATAATCCTAATGTTATTGTCATGCCAGCTTGCGAAAAAGATTGTTGAACTGCTGTAAAAGTGGGATATCAGGACAATTTGTAGAGAGAAAAAAACACTTTCCTCATCAATGCCATCTTTTCGTAAATTTCAGTCCCACTTCCCAAATCGGGTTGCTACTAGGTTTTGTATTCATGTGACCTATGTTGTCTATGTGAGGTAGACCTGTCGACCCATACACAGAAAACAGCCTGCATAGGTTTGTGAGTCCAAAACACAGCCCACACATGACACAAGATAGACTGGTCTAGTGTCAAACGTTGAGCTTGATTTAGGGACTATGCCAATAAGTGAAAGATTAGGGATGCGACAGAAATTCACAAAACAGCCAACACTTGGAATAGGTGGAATGTGTGTAGGAAGTTAAATGGAAACTGCTTGCGGCTGTCGGATAGGATTAGAAAGAGGGGGGGAACGAGAAGTACCACCGAGCAAGAGAAGGAGGCTTGATTAGCCTCACATTTGGTTTTAGCTCTCCATCCCCACACGTCTCACAAGCATTACATGCACACCACACACATACAATCACATGCTGCAACATTACACGATCAAACAAAGAAAGATGATAATTGTTGTACGGAAGGATACAGCTGTTAGGTCGCAATTGCATCCATTTCACGCTTCAATTGCAGCCATTTCACATTTCAAAAGCATAGGGTCTCCAACCAAATCATGAGATGTCCCACTAAGTTGATCCAGCCAAACTATAAAAAGAAGGAAGGATTGCAGCCGACCCCGTTTCTTGTCTTTGTGTTTGATGATACATCGTAGAACATGGTGTCGTGAACTGACGACGTCCGTCAAATGACAGATGAAAGCTCAGCAAGATTTCATCGAGGTCGTATGACGGTGCAGCGAGGACTTATCCACACAAATCTACAATCATAGCTTCACGGCAACCCCCATACATGCGAATAAAAATTGGGTTTTGAGGAATCTCTTGTTTCATAATTGTTGAGCTTACTTCCATTTCGAGTGAAAGTGTTGGGTGAAGAAAGGTCGCTTCCACCAGAATACGACGGTGGATTCCTCTTGACCA